TGCCTGAAGCAGTTTTCATAAATACTTTCCTTCCTAGATGTGTGGTCTTCAACAACAGAGGTCTTGGAGGGGAGGAGCTGCTGGTAAGTACAATGAATACCTAATAAATTTATAGTTAAGTAAAATCTAATTCTCAAAACACTGTTTAAGAAAGAAGCTCATGTTCCAGAATGAACACATTCAAGCTTGACTGAAAGTTGCCCTCGTGGAGAAGCTAAATGCCTTCTGGAGAAAACTTTATGGTCAGATGAGACAAATATTGGCTTTTTGTCCATAATGACAAGAGGTGTGTTTGGAGGAGTAAAAGTGAGGATTTCAAATATGAAAACACTGTCTGGGGTTGTTTTCCTGCCAGTGGTGCGGACACATTAAACAATGTGGATGGAATGATTCTAGTGTATCCAGAGAGTACTCGCAGTGCTTCATTTGTTCCACTTTTTTCATGTTACAGCCTTATTCCAAAATTTTTATTTTTCACCACAAAATTCTGCAAAGTAGAACACCCAAGTGCTTGTGAGTTTAATAATAAAAACATAATATGTACATAGGAATTTGCAGCCTTTGCTCAATACTTTGCAGAAACAGCTTTGGCAGCAATTACAGCCCAGGTCTTTTAGAGTATGATGTTACAAACTTGGCACGCTAACCTTTAGGCAGTTTCTCCCATTCTTCTTTCTTCTATCCAGTTGGAGGGGGAAGGTTGGCATACACCGATTTTCTGATTTTTCCAGAGACATTCAATTGGTTCAAGTCTGGGTTCTAGCTGGTCCAGTCAATGACATTTGCAGAGTGGAAACCACTCCTTTGTTTGTTTGGTTGTGTGCTTTGTGTGCCTTGTTGGAAGATGAACCTTTACCCCAGTATGAGTTCCAGAGCACTCTGGGGCAGGATGTTTTGATATATTACTGTGTTTATCTTGCCCTTGACCCTGACTAATCTCACAAAAAACATCCGCACAATATGATGCTGCCACCACCGCGCTAAATTTGATGTCATGGTATTGGCTGCCTGGTTTCCTCCAGACATAAAGCTTGACATTGAGGCCAAAAAGTTCAAGCTTTTGACCCAACAAAACAATGCATTTGTGACCAGTTTTCTAAGATTAATTTCTTCAGGCATAGTTAGTTTCAGTGTTTTTCTTAATATAAATATGGAGAACGTCTTCCTCAGTGCACCATTTCACAGCAGTAATAGCACTAACAGAAGATCTGAGGCTTAAGCACTGCATGTAACTGCCCTCCTGTATCCTTCTGCTTGCTTCAGACACCAGTCACCTACTGTGCTGCCAATACTTCAGATCTTGAGTGTGTGGTGCAGCATGTCAAAGGGCTCTACCCCAGTGCTCCTGTGCTTGGGGCTGGTGTGTCTTTGGGAGGGTGAGTTGGTGCATAGTGTTTCCGCTGGCCTCCATTTCTAGACCTAGATTTGTCGTCTGTGTCTTTCCTCCATTTCTTTTATTTTATTTTTTTCAACAATTTTATGATTCGTTTCTTTTCACCCTGCTGCAGCATGGTGTTGTTAAACTACCTGGCCCGTAAGCGCACCGAGTCAGGATTGGTTGCCGGTATAACCATTTCCGTACCCTGGGATGCATTGAAGTTCTCCAGCTCGATGGAGGAACCGCTCAACTGGCTGCTCTTCAACAGGCACATCACGAAATCCTTGCACCAAATTCTCAACAGGTCGGATAAGTTACGGTTGCTAAACCTACATTTGCGTTTGTAAATCCAGTTAAATAAAAAAACAAAAATCTGTTTCTCACAGGCACAGGAAGATTTTAGAGAAAGTGGTGGATGTTGACTATGTCCTGAAGGTATGATACAATATTACTCACAGTTTGTCAGTTTCTTAGATGTATAATTGACTTTCCATTCATCGTCATCTTGTTTTCACACCCCCTTGTAGGCTCGGTCCATCCGTGAGTTTGACGAACGCTTCACGTCTCTGATGTTTGGTTATAGCTCATGTATGGATTATTATCGCGATGCCAGCCCAGGCAAAAAGCTCCCCAATACAGCCGTACCCATCCTGTGTCTCAATGCTGCTGATGACCCTTTCTCTCCACAGACTGGTGAGTACACAACAGGAGAGGTGTGTCAGTATAAGCACTGCAAAGGAGAAATAACAGCTGTAATGGTTTACTCATAAATGCTGATTCAGTAGGCCTTGTCAGATTTGGCGCACAAAAGATAAATCAAGTTTTGTAATTGTTGAGAATTTATATTCTTCTTAACACAATTCCTTTTTTAAAATGTAATCAAGGATGTTGAAGTCACATGAAAGGTTTCCGATTCATGTGTCTGCTTTGTGTCTACTCTGCTGTCTGTTTATATTCATTTGGACTTTTTCTGTCCTGCTCTCACAGCCTTCCCAGTGTCTATAGTCCAGGATCTTCCTAATGTCGCCCTGGTATTGACGGCACATGGGGGACACATTGCCTTCTTGCAGGGTTTTTTTCCTCGAGGCGAGAACTACATGGAGCGCTTGTTTGGCCAGTTTGTGCACGCAGTCTTTGAACACCGGGAGGAAATGAAGCAAGCCTGTGGTATCAGAGAGGAGCAAATGAAGGACTAACGAGCAATATGAAGGGACTTACACTGAAGTAATACAACATTTGCAGCTGCAACCCTGCTCATCTACCTCATGACCTCAGGTTCATGTTCTGTAGACAGTCAAGTTTTCCTATGATTACACTTTGCATGCTGTAGAGTGTGGATGGGACACCAGTGGTTAATGAGCTGACACTGTGTAAAGACCAGTAATTTCAGATAATTGTATCTGCTGCCATAAAGTGTAATAATGAATTGTAAGCGTATCATGAGGACCAGATCACTATGTATGTGTGCTGAATGTATTTTTATTAGCAGTAAACTGAACATCAGTTTTTTTGTTTGTTTGCAGTGATTTCCATGACAGAACCATTCCTGTTTTCAATGCAGTGCCGCGCGATGGCCTGGAGGTCACGGCCATTTAATACTGACTTTTTGCACTTGTTCTCTGTGCACAGAGATTCCTCTAGATTCTCTGAATATTTTGATGATATACTATGATGAGATATTCAGCGATTTTATGTTATTCTGAAATTGTTTCACAATTTTTTGCAGATTGGTGAACTTCAGCCCATCTTTACTTCGGAGAAACTCTGCCTCCCTAAGATGCAGAAATATTCCTGACCTGTTGCTAATTAATCTAATAATTTGCTAAATATTTCACTAGTTGAGAACAAGGTAACATAGGGTTTTGAAATTGATATCGTAGATGTCTAATATGAGGCTGAGGATTAGCACTGCCAACCACCAGTAATTTTAGTGAATGTTAATTCACGTAATAGGGCTAGTGGCAATATTTTTATGGGTACTTGTATATTTGGTGTCAAAAGACATGAAGGAGGAGAATGGAGCAAAGGCCACAACAAACGTTTATGGTGATAATAAATCAACCTGAGGGAAAGGTGGGATAAACAAGAGTAAGTTGAAGTGTACAAAAGGAGAAATGAGGTGAGGAGGGAAAAGGAGATACATTTGTACATACTGAACTGATCAGCACAGGATACACTGTTAGAAATATGAGGCAGAAATAAGGCAATTCAATTTCATTCAAGTCCTCAGACGAAAAATAGATCTAATAAATATTTTAAAAATGCCAACTTAGCTGATAAAAATAATTATTTTTGTTTTTAAAGCCGTAAATAAACAAAAGTTTCGATCCAAGCTCCACACCAGCTCGTGGCGGTAATGCAATCATTTATTGATTGTTTTTGATTGAATCTTTATTTTGAACTTGTTGAAACAGTATAACAACATAGAACTAAAACGAGACAAACAAACAAAGCAAAACAAAAGGAAAACGAGCAACCACAACTACAAATAACTTTCATGCTCAAAAAGGAGCAGGAAGAAACATAAGCTTATTTAATCCCACCCCCTTTTCCACTATCTTGGAAATCAACAGACTACAGAAATCCTCCTTACAACTACATTATATTTTACGTGTATTTAAAAAAAATGTATATCTATCTTTCTATCTATATATATATATATATAGATAGATAGATAGATATACACGTATATATATATACATATATACACACATATATATATACACACACATATATATATACACATATATACACATATATATATATATATATATATATGTGTGTATATATATATACTCATTTTCAATAACCCCATAGAAAGTAAAAGAAAAACTATATCTCCATATTTGTAGTTTACATGGATCGTAGCCATGACGTTGAAGTTGGAGCTTTTGTCCAATCAGGAGCTTCGCCTGTGAGAACTAGGAAGCAGCTGCTCCCGGAGAAAACACCAGACTATTACCTGATGGCTACCGGCGTCTAACGTAATATCGCCAAGGCTGCTGGGAAGAGTCGAAGTACAACATATTGAACGTTAGATGTTTCTGATGAAGGCAGGTTGTCGGGCATTAAATATCATATTCTTTCTGTCCTGTTATTCCGTTGTGTCGGTTAACGACGTCGTCGGCTAGCAGCTCAGCTGTCAACCGCACTTAGACCGTTGTCATGTTTCTGACTCATGCGGAGGTATGGAGAACATACTGGGAGTGTGTTTCCAGGCCATACACGGTGATCATCTGCTCCCTCACGGCCACAATGTACTATCTGTGGGGCCGCGAGTGTCAGGTCAGTCTCTGCGGTCGAAGTTAGCGGCAAAGACTCCGCCATACCCGCTTTGACTTACAGTTTAGTTGGATTTTTAAGCATTTTATTTCCTTTAAAATGAAGATCACTATATCCTATTAACTCCTATTCGACTTTATCTGTGGTATTTTGTTTTTCTAATTAATTAAAAAACTGTTTTTCCGTTTTATGTATTTACATTTTTAAGCTTATTTAACATTTCTTGGTCCATAATTTTACAGTTTTTAGTGTTTGGGTTCAGAGGTTTGTACTCAAAGCTCTGAACCTTTTTTTAAAATTAACTTTATTTTGTATAAAATTAAATCTGTAGGTTATAATATTGTAATATGTGTATCATCTGTGTATGAGATATGATCTTTTATTCTACAAAATTAAAGCCTCTCTTTTATTGATTCCATAAATAAAACTGGAAGAAGATCATGGTTATGACTGATCATTTGGTAATAAGCAGTATATCAGCTTTATTCATAATAAGTGTTTTACTTAAGTTTAAGCAGCTAAAGTGAGGATAATTTCAAAGTATGGTCAATAGTAGAATTTGTTTATGTAGAAAATGCAGAAAAAATAAATCTCTAAAATATCTTCACAGACTGTAAA